GGGTAGAGAGTTGGTGGATATATTGGGTTTTCGGACAAGTTATGCCCTTTTTTTCTTCACGCTCAAAAAAATCTAAAAAGGCGGAAGTTTGCAGTACTTTACATATTGCTTTGAGGAAGAAGTTTTTCTTTACAAGAAGGTATACTTGGGTCATCCAGTGATTTGGCTTTATTAAATTAGAAGTAATTTTGAAATGAAGGACCAAAAAAGCTCAACTGGCAACTTTATATTTAGGCATACAAAAACTTGAAAATTGGTATCATGCTGACCTGTGGGATAATTGAATTGCTGATTACTAAAATATTCACTTCTCACGACAGAGCTTCATGGATTGTGGTTTATATGCCACAATTGATTACGGATAAACGGGATGGTCCAAAAAGTGGTCTATTGAGATTATTTGACCTGCTGATTACAAAAACCTACCTACATCGTACAATAAGCACTCACTGCAAAGGCAATGGTTGTAAGAAGGCAAATTCAAAATCAGTGATCCATAAAAAAAGGGAAAGTCGGTTTATTTCATGTTTACCGTGCAAAACGCTGAACCATTGGGAATGAATATGATTTCTATAATCAGTATGTCAACTAACTCCGGTAACCCGTATCAGGTCAATCACTGAATTTAAACCTGCATTATCTGCCGCCTACAGAAAGAGCCCGTCGTGAAGAATGGCTAGATTTTCGCAATCAGCACAGTCAATTATTCCACTAAGTAGCGTAAATTTGAGCTTCCCACACTATCCAGAAAAATTAAGTTACTGGTTGAGCTTTTTTTGGCCCTTTCGAAATACATATTTATTTCTAGTTCACCAAAACCGAAATCATTGAACAAGATAAATACATCATTTTATAAAGAAAGACTTCCACTTTCGAATAAACACAATATGTTGCTACAACTTTTAATTTCTCAGTAAATACTTAAATTTGAGGTAAAAAAACGGCACAGCTTGACAGTTCAGTAAAGTACTGCTTTCTGAATAAGTCTACATACCGGCAATAGGGAATGCCTAGGTTTTCGCGTTCGTTTTATGATGTAATTTGATCAAATTCCATGTGAAGTTA